AGGGAGGGAGGGAGGAAGGAAGGAAGGAAGGAAGGAAGGAAGGAAGGAAGGGAGGGAGGGAGGGAGGGAGGAAGGAAGGAAAGAAGGAAGGAAGGAAGGTCTATAAACAACTAAAAAATTTTTTTTAAATAAAAATAAAGAAGACTGGGGATGTGACTCCAGGGTAAAGCACCGTTGGGTTCAATCCCAGTAAGGGGGGGGTGGATGGGGGTGCTGCACCTTTTGTAACCTCTGGGAGTCCCAGGCCAGAGCTATCAGACTCAGGTGCCTTATCACTCTACCCTGAAGGGTCTTGAGGATATGACGGCCTTGTTTTAGGTTTGGCTGCCCCAGTTCAGCAGAAAGAGAAGAATCCTTGGCCATGTGCGTGTGTGTGTGTGTGTGTGTGTGTGTGTGTTTTCTCTGACAGAGAAATATCTCTCCTGGGATCCCAACCTTGTTTTTGAATTGGGACATAAAATGAGAAAATTTATTTAGAAGACAAAAATACATACAGATACAAAGCAAAAGCTTAGCTGATGAAGATGAAAGTTTTTGGGAACAAAAAGATTTCTCAATTTGGTCACTGGGCTCCCTCTCTTGTGTTGCAGTTTATTAACATCACATCTCTCTGGGAACAAGGACCTCTATTCTGTAAGGTTTGCAGGCAGGAAACTGGTCAAGTTTTAGCATTGATGTAGAATTCCCATGGAAGCCTTTAATCAAGAGAGGTAGTCAGTATAAGGATTTCCATGAATGAAGACTGCTGATGGAACCACTCCAAAATCTAGAATTCATCCAGAGCCTTACAAAGAGTGATTTCAGTTCAGTACTGGACTTTAATCAATGTAAATGTAGGATCCTAGATGAGGAATGACAGAAGGACATAACTAGAACTGTGGGGTCCCACGGTGTCATGTTCCTGATGTCTATTCTTGCAGGTCCCCAAATGACTGTGGTCATATGAGGATTCCTCTAACTTCCAACTAGGACTTAACAGGGAGACAGTATGTGGATGTGAGAATAGCAGGTTCAAACAGTGAGTAGAGTTACAAGACTGGTCACTCATCCAGGTGAGCATTCAAATGTGAACTAAGGAGGGCGGCACCACCTTGGGGTGGGGGGGTCTTGGGCAAAACCAAAATCAAAATGATGACCCTGAGGGCTGATGAGAGGACCTGTCCCCCAAATAGCAAGGCTCACAGAGCCCCACCTCTGCTATCAGTCCTATGAGGCTCAGGCAGGAGGAACCATATGATGCCTGCTCAGATTTCCTCTGTGGGAACTGGGGAAGGTGTAAGTTTTGTTTGGAGACCATGCGACATAAGGAAGTAGAGGGAGGAATCTGAGGATAGCCTAGATACCAATGCAAGAACCTAGGGATCCTTGACTCCCAAACAGGGAGGTCCCTTAGTGACCGATTCCTGCTGTCAATCCTCCGAGATCCCAGGCAGCCGTTGGCCGGATGTGATTCATCCTCACTTCCGCTGTGAAGGGAAGGACCTCCTTCTGAAAGGCGTGGCGTCCACTTTACTGAGCGTGAATTCTCTGGATTGAGGTGAGGACCCTGAGTTTGACTGAAGAGCCCCCTCCCCCCACCCCGCATGCAATTCATAATAAAGTAGGCCCCACAAAGTCACGGCCATGGGTCAGCCCTCTTAGATCTTGGGTCAGAGCTGTTAAGACTTAGGGTCGCGCCCTTTCTACCACATTCTTTTTACCCAAAGTGGAGTGGAGGGATTCCATTTAAAGAGGAAAAGTCCCATTAGCCTAGGGAGAGGGCTTGGCTCTAAAACAAGTAAAAGCAAGACCCTACGAGCCAGTGAGTGGACCTTTCACCAAAATAGGTGGTCACACAGAACATCATCCCTACTGTCAGTTGTAGGAGCCCCCAGGCAAGGTTGCCAGATGTGGAGCACCCTGACTTCTCTAGTGACTCTGGGATTTGTGTGCTTTGGTTTGAGGCTGTGGAATGAGCTCAGTAGAGGGAGCAATCCTGATCCTACCAGAAGTCAAAGTCCTGTGTGGAACTGAGGGAGCCAGACTCCACAACAGTGGGGTCTAAGAGTTCCATCATTGCTCTCAGCACACGCAGGCCTTGGAAGAATGTGGTTCATTCTTACTGTCAACTCAGGTCCAAGAAATAGGAGGATCTTTGTCTGATGGTAGTGGCCTCTGGACAGCAGAGGGTAGTTCCAGAAAGGGGTTTGGAGTAAAGGTGAACAACCTGGGTGAAAAAAATAGACACTACTGTAATCCAAGTGACTCAGAAGGCTGAGGCAGGAGGATGGCAAGTTCAAAGCCGGCCTCCACAACATAGCAAGACCCTGTCTCAAAATTTAAAAAATAAGGGGCGGGGCTGTGGCTCAGCAGTAGCACACTTGCCTGGCATGTGTGAGGCACTGGGTTTGATTCTCAGAACAGGAAAGAAAGAAAGAAGGAAGGAAGGAAGGAAGGAAGGAGGGAGGGAGGGAAGGAGGGAGGGAGGGAGGAAGGAAGGAAGGAAGGAAGGAAGGGAGGGAGGAAGGAAGGAAAGAAGGAAGGAAGGAAGGTCTATAAACAACTAAAAAATTTTTTTTAAATAAAAATAAAGAAGACTGGGGATGTGACTCCAGGGTAAAGCACCGTTGGGTTCAATCCCAGTAAGGGGGGGGTGGATGGGGGTGCTGCACCTTTTGTAACCTCTGGGAGTCCCAGGCCAGAGCTATCAGACTCAGGTGCCTTATCACTCTACCCTGAAGGGTCTTGAGGATATGACGGCCTTGTTTTAGGTTTGGCTGCCCCAGTTCAGCAGAAAGAGAAGAATCCTTGGCCATGAAAGGTGTCAAAGTACAAATTTTATATGAAGAATTAGACTCCAGAACAGTGAAAAACATATAAAGTCTTGCCTCTGCCTTCAGCCCTAAGAAACCAGGATTATAGCACTAAGGATGAAGTTTCCTATCATTTTACTCAGGGGTACTCTCAGGGACACAAATCCTTTGGTTTAATTGAAGAGCTCCTATTCAGCATAGCGGGGAGACCTGGCCTGGTTCCTAATAGGAATTGAGGTGGTAATAGTATGAGGGAGACTCCTCCCAGAAATTGATCCACATAGACTCCCATGACTACTATGAGACCTGGAAGATCTGGGCATGGTGACATGGTAAGTCTGATTCGCTTCTTCCTAGAGCATCTAAGGGAAGTAAGAAACATTGTAAAAGGAAGCCTCAGGTTAGCAAGTGGAAGATTCCAAGTTAGTACCAGGAATCAAGAAGACCCTGAGAACTGAGAAAAACACCCATCCCATAAGACTGAGGGCAACATAGTAACCCTTCCTGTTTGTCAGCCTTGGGGGCCAACAGGTAGTCATGGCCAAATGAGAAACTTTCACTTCTTCCTAGGGGTCTCAGAGTGTTGGGGGCATTAGCATAAGTAGATAGGCATTAAGTCAAGATAGGGAGAACATTGAGGAAGCACTAAATCAGAAAATGAGCGTCCACAAATTCCCACCTCAGCCCTGGGAAATCCTAGGCAGAGGTAGCCAGATGTGTGCCACAGTCTGGCTGCCGCGGGGATGGGGGGGGCGAGTGACAAGGAACTTGTGAAGGTTGATACAGTGGGAGCGGGAGCCGCTTTATTGTGGGACAGAAAAGTATATATACATAACTGAATACACAGCTTAACTTAATTAACATAAACTAGATACAGCAGTCAACCAATAAGGAATCCTCATCATCTTAATGATTACACACAGCTTAACTTAATTGACATAATCTAGACACAGCAGTCAGTCATTAAGGAATCTCTATCATCTTAATGGCTCGCTGGAGTTACTTCTCAAACCACTCCACTTGGCAAAGTGCCAGGCGCCATCTTGACTTGTTTATGGACTCTAACAGATGTGTCATACCCTCATATTCAGACCTGGAGATACAGCAAGATGACAGCCTTGGTATAATGTTGGAAGACTTAGGGAGGCTAATGGTGGAGTTATACCCTATCTGAGTGAGGATTAAAGAGACCTATGATCCCCAAACAGTGGGATACCCTAGGGAACAAAGTTGGCTGGATGTGGCTCACACTCTCATCTTCAGGTGTGAGGAAGATGAGAATCTTATTCTGAGCAGAGGGACTCGGGTTAGCAGGAAGAAGATTTTCAGGTGGTGCCAAGACTCATACAAAGGACCATGAGGACTTCAGGAAACTCCATATCAACAGGGGTCCCACAGATTCCTTCTCTTTGTCAGGCCTGAGAGGCCCCAGGCATAGATGTCAGGCAGAAGTGCCCATTGGTTTCTCTTCAGGAGTAACAGAGAAGTGAGGGTCTTAGTTGGACAATTCAGCAAGGGAAGGAATTTTAGGATTCCCAGTCAATTGGAGACCTTGAGTGAGGATCATGAATAAAACCATATGTCGCAGGGTGTCAACCTTCCAGCCACAGTTTTTAGCTTGTGGAGAATATGAGCAATGGGACTACAGCCACTCCCACATCCTCAATTAAGTGTGATGGACGGATAGGTGTGAACCTTACTCTAATGATGTCCTCGGGTCCAGAAAGGGGAGCCCCAGCCCTTCCCAGGATTCAAAGTATGATCCATGGATGAGGACTGAAGGTACCACTCCCTCAACCCCAATTACAAAGAACAATAGAGTCTGGCTCTGTCCTGATACTCATCCGTTGAATGCCTAGAGCAGGATTGTCAGCTGAGAGTCCTCCTCATTTCTTTGTACCAGGTCTAAAGGAAACAGGAGCCTGAGTCTGAAAGTGCAGCTCTAGTTAGTAGAAAGGAAGGTTTCAGACTCTAGGTGTAGACAAAATGAGGACCCTGAGTGAATATTGAGGGCAAGTGAGCACAGGAGAGAAAGAGGGTGGGGAGGGGGGAGAGGGAGAGGGAGAGAGAGATACCCCTACAGAATTGTCAGCACTGCCTGTTTGAAGGAGTAGTGGGAGAAACCCCACACACACATTTCCTATTCTTGAATACAAGGGAGCTTCTCAGCTTCAGAGCAGCACAGGAAAGAAGTGCCATACCCTGACCAAGAGCAGATATACTGATTCTGTGTGTGTAGACTTAGAGGACCTTTGAACACACGAAAGAACACATTGCTAACCCTTGCTGTCACTAAGTCAGCCCCAGGGAAGCCTGGCAGGCTTCAGACTAAAACACACTGTAATTTCCTCCCCTTGTTTTCCAGGGGTCAGGTGGTCCAAGAAGAGGAGCCCGGTGGGTTTCCAGAGCAGTGTTCTCATGGAAACCTGCAGAGAGTGCTTTAAAAAAAAAACAGAATGATGTGTCCTGCTAAAACTGCTCATTGGATCTCATTCTCCCTCCTCCAGGTTCCCAGAACACCTGCTGTCCAGCCCATATTCCTGCTTGCTGTCCCTGACCACAGCCATCATGCCCCGGGGACAAAAGAGTAAGCTTCGTGCTCGTGAGAAGCGCCGCCAAGCCAAAGATGAGACCCAGGGTCTCAAGAATGCTCAGGCCACTGAGGAAAAAGGGGCCCCCTCCTGCTCCTCTTCTGTTTCTGAAGATGCTGTCCCCAGCACCTCTGCTACTGCCTTTTCCCAGAAGCCTACCACCACTGCTGCTGCAGGTGTTTCACGCAAGAAGTCTGGTAAAGGTGCCAAGAGCCGGGGGGAGGGAAGTGCCAGTACCTCTAAGATCCCACCCTCCACTGAGAGCACCCAGAGAGATCTTCTCACCAAGAAGGCAGGGATGCTGATGCAGTACCTGCTGTACAAGTATAAAATGAAAGAGCCCATTATGAAGGGAGAGATGCTGAAGATTGTCAACAAAAGGTTCAAGGAGCAGTTTCCAGAGATCCTCAAGAAAGCCTCTGAGCGTGTCGATCTGGTCTTTGGACTTGAGCTGAAGGAAGTCAAGCCTGGTGGTAACTCCTATACCCTTGTCAGCAAGCTAGATGTCTCCAACAATGGAAGTCTGACTAGCTTGGACTTTCCCAAGAATGGGCTTCTGATGCCTCTCCTAGGTGTGATCTTCTTAAATGGCAACGCTGCCTCTGAGGAGGAGATCTGGGAATTCCTGAATATTTTGGGGATCTATGAAGGGAAGAAGCACATAATCTTTGGGGAGCCCCGAAAGCTTATCACCCAAGATCTGGTGCAGGAGCAGTACCTGGAGTACCGGCAGGTGCCTGGTAGTGATCCTCCACACTATCAATTCCTATGGGGCCCCCGATCTCTTGCTGAAACTAGCAAGATGAAAGTCCTAGAGTTTTTGGCCAAGGTCAATGATACTGTCCCCAGTGCCTTCCCATCCCATTATGAAGAGGCCTTGAGAGATGAGGAAGCGAGATCCCAACCCAGAGCTGCAACCAGGCACGGTGCTGCTGCCAACGTCCATACATGTTCTAGGGTCACACCTGGCAGTTCCTCCTGCCCTTAGTGAGATCAGAAGCAGATTCTACATTGTTTTCAGAGAGCTTCCTACCATATAATACCAGGAGGCTGGCATGGTCCTAGAGAGATCATAATGTCTCTATTCATTATACATTAATATCTTTCAAGTATTTTTCTTTTAATAGAATATTTATTTAAATTTAGATTCATTGGTTATAAATGATATAGATCACATATTTATTGATGTTGTAAGTTTTAAGTGCAAGAATTTTGGTATTTTCAAATAGATTTTTAAAACCCTTAAATCTTTTTTGGGGTTAGTGAACAAAATAAAACACCTTCAGAATGGCAATTTTCCTGGAAATGTGTGAAAAACTCATGAAATGTAATTGGGGTCTTAAAACAGATGAAAACAAAGCAAAACCTAGTCAACTGTTGGTCTACCTTATTCACTTTTCTCTCTATTTTCTTATTGTAAAATTCAAAGATATATATTCAACTATTCAACTATGCAGATAAAATTAAATAGTAATAAATTGTATTCCTTGCTCAGTGACTCATTTATTCTCATCCTGAATTGAGCATCTGTTCTTTGGAGGGCTGTGTTGTGTGTTAGTAGAGATGATGCTAAGATGAATTAAATCCTTTCCTTCCCCATACATTTTTTTATTTATTACATACATGACAATAGTGGAGTGCATTACATTCATGATCATCCATTCATAGCACAATTTTTTATAACTCTGTATATATATAAAGTATGTTCACACCAAATTATGCCATTATACATGAGCTCTCTTATTTTTTTCCATACAATTCTTAATATACATTTATACCACCATTTATCATATCTTTCTTTATATATAAGGTATGTTGACACCAAATTCACATCTTCATACATGTATATAATGATGACCGTCTCCTTCCACCATCCTGGCTATTCCCCTTCTCCCTCCCTTTCCCTCCCACCCCTATTCCCTATCTAGAGATAATTTTCCTCCCATGCCTTCCCTCCCTACCCCACTTTGAGTCACCTCCCCATACATTTTTTAAAATTTTTTAATATTTATTTTTTTTAGTTTTCAGTGGACACAACATCTTTGTTTGTATGTGGTGCTGAGGATCAGGCGAGCGCGCCACCGCTTGAGCCACATCCCCAGCCCCCTCCCCATACATTTTTAAAGTCTCAGAGGAGTTATTATATAAAGAATATGGTGTTACATACTCAACACAGAACAAATAAAGGAAGGAGTTAAGGTGGTGGTGGGAGTGGGAGGGCTTCTGGTGAGAGCAGCCAAGTGTAAATTCCCTGAGTGAAGGAACTTTGTGTTTCAGGATATTGCAAGTTACTTGTTGAGAGGTCATTTTTAAGTTAGCCCCATGTTGGGCTAAATGAAGTTGTGTTAATCATGAGCAGGTACCAGACTCCTGGATGGTGAGCCCCATAGTTGAGAGAGTAGCCCTAGAATGAAAAGCTAGATTTAACACTTAGATATTGTAAAGCAGAAGGAATTTCTGCCTAGGGTAGGAATGAAAGAAGTGTGGCACTCCTGTTCCAGTGCATTTGAAACTCTCCAAATATTGTTTTCAGAGAGTTTCTGATACATAAGTGGGGATACTCTTGTTACTGGGTGCCACTATTGCTGGCAGGGTAAGAGGCTTCCCTAAATAGCTCTGAAACATTCTTTTGAGGTGATATGGCCAGAAACCACTGGGCTGGCACTCTTTACCCTGTGCTGGGAGATCCAGAGTCTATATTCCATTAATTGGGATATCTTATTTGGTAGAACTCCAAGGAAGAGCTAGATTTTATTGGTAGCAAAATAAATGAAAATAGAGATATATTGTTGACAGAGGGCTTCCTGCAGGGAGGAGAACTGTTGGTCCTTGACATGAAGTCTACAAGCTTTGAGTTGAAACCTGGTGAAATCCCTGACCCCATATTAAATTATATATTCTCTACTGGGGAAATTTTCCTGTTATTTGCTTATTGACTTTTTGGTAGTTTGTGTTTTCTTTGTACCAGAGCACTGCATATTCTCTGATTTCTAGTTAAAGACTTCCCAGAGACAAAAGTGTTCTCTTCTAGCATAAATGTAGTCATAATGATTATTCCTTGATTAGAGACGTGATATTTACTAGCTACTTTGTCAGGTGCTTTGTATACATTATATATGTTCCAACAATCCTATAGAATAGGGCTTACTGGACTTACTTGACAGATGAAGAACTTAAAATATTTTCAAGTTTACATGGCTAGTGACAGACCTGGGACCAGACCTCAGGTCTGAATTCCTACAGAATTCACTGTTTTACTCTTCCCAACCTGAGGCAAATTTGTCTCTTAATTCTTCTCACTCCTCCACAATATTTCGGAACTGATGAGTTGTATCCAGTGGCCAAAGTACCAAAAACAGGCCTAAAGAACAAAGGTAAAAATGAAAACTAAACTATCTGTTGGGTTTATTTGTCTGGGTTCCTTTCTTCCCTTTGCCCCAAAGTTCCTCAAGAGCTGACTCTGGCTGGGTCCAATTTCAACACTTTCCTGAATTACAGCACCCTTCTCCTGAGTTTTCTTCAGTATCTAAACTGGCACTGACCTTCTGACCACCTTTTCAGTGTGTCCTCCTGTGGAGCCTGCACAAAGAAACAGAAATCCCAGACTCCCTGCCTTCTTTCTGCCATAGAGGGTTCCAATTCCCTGGAGATCTTGTCCTCACCATGAACCCTCTCTGACAGCAACAGCCCCTTCCATGTAACTTTTCATTTCAGATGGGAAAGTTTACAGTACTCTTCATTCCTCTGGGTACCTCCACCACACCTTTAAAGTGTTTTCAAATCTGAAGCTGAGTAAAGTTTGATTTGGTACAGAATCTACTGGCTCTTGGCTTCTAACCTTAAGGCTAGAGAGGTTTTTTTTCTTTTTGAAACCACCTTGATATTTGCAGGAGGATTTTAATGGAGTGTTTTATTTGAGACTGGCCACTGAACACATATACTAGTAAGTGTTCAATAACCAAAGTCTCCCTTTTAAGAGATACATGAGGAAAGACTAAGGAAATTACTGTGTAATAAAACATCTACTGAAGTGGAATCCCTAAATATTCTTCTTGAAGTCCTCAGAAGTGTAAAATGTTTCCTTGGAAGACATATTAGCTTTGAATAAAAAGAAAATAAATAATAATAATAATATGCCATCTTTCCATTTCATTTACTCTTATCTGTATCTCCCTCCAGGAAAAAAATGCTAGTTTTTCAGCATGCTTAATTGAACTGTTCAGATGTTTATACATGTAAAATCAGGTGGTAGGAAGCTATGATTTTGACACTGCACCAAAAGATAGGAGAAAATTCTCCATCTACTTAAGTCATGCATGTTATTGTAAAGGATCATGCAGAAAGATACTATTGAGTGACAAACTCTCCCTGTAAAGATTTACAAGGTCATTTTGAAAATTAGATAAAAAACTCCTCCAAGAAATAAAGTTTTTTATATTGGTAAGCAAATGACACATCTCATGATGTCATATAAAATAAAATATGTATTCTGCAATTGCTTATTCAAACCGATATCTACATGAGGATTATTTATTCAAGAAACTTATGTTGAATACCTACTATATACATTCTCTGTGTCTCTATAAAGTCAGCAGTTTGTAAAAGTACATAATTTTAATTGATGCATAGTCTATTCTCTCTTACTGAGGATTTTTCAGATTTTAAGAATATGGTCTGGATCTATCACATCCAATACTGTAGCCACAAGTGACATGTGGTTATTGAGCATTTTAAATGTGGTTATTCTGAACTCGGATTCACTATGAGAATAATGTACATTTCATATTTCAAATATTTTATAAAATGGTTAGAGACCTGGGGCCAGGGTTGTGGCTCAGTGGTAGAGCACTTGCCTAGCATGTGTTAGGCACTGGGTTCAACCCTTAGTACCACATAAAAATAAACAACAACACAAAAAAGCTTCCTTTAAAAAATAGTTAGAGGCCTAAACTATCTCATGATTAAGATATGTGATTAAAATTATATTCACCTATTTCTACATTTTTAATGTGGCTACTAGAAGGTTTAAGGTTATAAGTGTAGCTTGCATTAAATTTCTTTTGGCCAGGGCTGGTCTAAGTCTTGTTTGTTCAGCAAATGTTAAGTCAATTTTTCTCAAAAACTGAGAAGTCAATTTTCAGTTTCATTTATAATTATCAGGACATTTCTAGCACTAATCAACAGTAAATCAGATAAGTGACTTCTCTCTAAGTCTGCCTCATCAGCACAGAAGGAAAAGAGATGGGATGATTGCTGAGACCTCCTGTGGCCCAATACTATATGATCTAAGTATTGATCATAAGTTGTAAAGGTCCAAGAGCTTGACTATATGTGAATGAGTTAATTCATCAGGAAATTAATACATTTTAAATGGACAATAAATATTCTTAAAAGTTCAATTTTGTTAATGAAATTAATACAATTCCTTGCACCAAAAATTTAAAATATTTTTAAATAATGATATCCAATACTAATGAAAATATAGAGACTGTTACTATGTACAAAGAGTTTTTTAAAAACTACTTAACTTTTCCCAAGCAATTCTACTCCTATAAATTAGCTTAACATAATAACTAGAGATACACACAAAACTTACTATATGAGGATATTTGTTCTGGCCAAGCATAAACCAAAGCCAAGGCCAAGAGGGTAGTGGTGGCAGGTAGGTGACTGCTGCTAACAAGATGATCTGTGGAAATATGTAAATAATTTCTTTGGTAACAGAAATAACTAGGAGACACATCAAAAGTGCCATGATTCCTGCTTGGGTAGAAAGATAACTGTCACTACAATTTGGATATACATGTAGCTTCATTTTCTAGTCATCAAGTGGAAATATCAGGGAAAATTTATATTGCATGTGTAATCAGATGCATTTATAGCAAAACACATATCAACATATAGATAGACATGAAAATAAATGTTATTTATTTATTTGTTTATTTATTTATTTATTTATTTATTTATTTATTTATGGTACTAGGGATTGAAACTACTGGTGCTTTATCACTGAGCCACATCCCTAGCCCCTTTTATTTTTATGTTTAAATTTTGAAACAAGATCTCGCTAAGTTGCTTAGAACCTCACTAAATTGCTGAGGCTGGCCACAAACTTGTGATCCTCCTGCCTGAGCCTCTTGATCCACTGTGATTACAGGCATGAGCCACCACACCCAGCAATGCAGGTTATTGTTTAATGAATAATTTATACTGTTGTTAAAGATTAAATTATTGGCCTAAATTCTTTTCCCTTCCCTGCATCTTTACTCTTGTCATGATCATATACATCATCAATGGGCAAATTGCACTTTCTCATTTATTGTCTTTGGGCTCAGTGCTATGACTTGCTTTGACCAATTGTGACTCAAATAGTGACTTGCAATGTGCTTGTATACTGAGCCAAGCTCTCTTGAACTTCTGCCATTACCATT